AGCATCTTGCAAATTTACTTTGCTGCGCTTTAGACAGTTTTGAATGAATATGTGAAGCCAAATAACCTCATGAGTTACAGGTCTTAAGATTTGGAGTTTTTTATCTCCATTAGTTTTTTTATAAAGGAATACAAGCCCAGAAAGACATGACAAAATGTGTATTGTTGTGTTGTAACCCACTTCAGTTTAAGTGTTCTGTTTTGTAAACTCAGTGTATTCAAATGCTGAATGGAAATGAGATAAAGGTATTTATTTTCTAATAAGGGAAACCAACAAAATAAATATGCTACATCTATACCACATTCTTAGGAAGATTTCTTAGAAGCTCTTGTGTTTAGCAAATTACAGATTCTAAAATTATTTATTGATTGATTCGTCAATTTGCAAACGCATCTGGAAGCAGATGTAGATTAGCTCTGCATTGCCTAGAGACATTTTATGCTTCTCAGGAAATGTCCTGTTGCCATAAATATCAGTTCTGACTGTTACTTTTTTTGTATCATCAAAAAGCTTAGGAGCTCTAGTCAACCTACTCCAGACCAGAACACATTTTACTAAATGCTTAATAGAAGTATCTTCATTAAGCAAGTACTAATCAGAGTATTTTTATCCTCCTCCAAGTGCTCAGAAGAAATTAATTTCCTAGTCCTTGTATTGAAACTACATGGTTATCCTCCCCGCCCCCCCAAACCGTTTCTGCAATAAGTTTGCCTGTTCTAAAAATACTTACAGTTCACACCTACTCTAAACACCACTAAAGGCATTGTTATTTTTCTGCCACTTTAAACCAATGTAAAGTGCACACTTACAGATAAAATAATGTGATCCAATTCATGATTCTTATTGGATTTAGTAGCAGTGATTAAAGAGATTACGCCTACTGGAAACTACCTCAACTGCCACAGCTAAATCCAACAGAGATCACAAAGCAATGCTCTTCCTAGCTGCAGTGCATAACCTGGTGCATTACCAGAGTGAAATCAATCCATCCCAATCCAGATGGCTGGGAAGAGCAAAGCCTGAGGACTAGACACACCACCTGGTCCACCACTTCTGTTTCAGGGCTTCCGCTTCACAAGAAGTAAGAACATCATTTAGGGATGAGAACCTTCTCAACCACTCCAGCATGAACTGCCAGGGCTTCTGAGATTATCAGACGACTGAGGAGACACTGTTATTCCTTCTTTCTTTTTCTTTTTTTTTTTTTTTTTTTTTTTTAAAAAAAAAATTTTTTTTTCAAAATTTTTTTTTTTTTTTTTTTTTTTTTAAAAAAAAAACTCTTCTTGAGCTCATCACCACCACCGGAGCACATCAGAGTGCTGTACACACACACACACACACACACACGCACACATAGAACTGATTCAGTCTTCCCACAGGTGATAGCGTTAAAAGACAGTATGCCTCACATAACACATTCCAACCAAAACTTCAGGCTGCATTTGTACTTATGAGTGGTAAACAGTTTTTTCCCAAAAAACTGCAAAAACAAAAGGATGAAGTCTTACTGCCACTGACCTCACTGGAGCCAGGTTTCATCAGAAGTGAACAAGTATTTCATGACATCCAATATTCATGAAAGTTCAATTTCAGAAATAAGTATTTAAAATTCTTTGCATTTTAGACATAAATAGTAAGCCTTCTTTTAAACAGACCATGCAACCTAAACTAATACTACTCTGCTGAGGAGCAGGAAAATAGCAGAGAAAGATCACGATTTTGCTTTGTAAAGCTAATTTCTCCGGAAGAAGAGTTTAAACTTTTTCCAAGATAAACTCATAAAGCATAACATATGAAAGAATTTATCTTAAAACACATATTTTTTCACGACTCCTGTCTTCTGATACAACATGCTTATCTCTGGAATTTAGATGCTTAAATGCATTCCGAATCAAATTTAGCTGTAATTCACAAAATAAAAATTAATAATATTTTTTGTTCTGTGTATACCATCCACCATTCATAAGCAGCTTCAGGTCAACTTCAAAATGGAACACTGTGAACCCTTTACAAAACACCATTTTTACAGAACTGAAGTACCAGTTCACAAGTACAAGGGAAGGAGATTTAACAGAACAAAACAAAAAAAAAGGGACAAAATAAAATAAAAATAAAAGAAACAAAGGAAAGAAAGCAAAATAAAATAAAAACAGAGACAGGGCGTCCATCTTCAGCAGGCCAGACTTCGATCTCATTTCCCCCATGAAGGTTTCACTTGGCGGCAGGTTTAGTGGCATGGCAAACAATGCCTAACTCAGGCAAGTGTAACAGGTCTGCCTTGGCCAGTCTAGTGATCTAATAATGCACAAATATCACACAGAGAAAACATACAAAACCAAATTAATAGTCAAAATCCATCTACCAGATAATGTGGACATAAAATTTAGAATGATTAGGGTGGCATCTTTGTTTAGTTTTTCAACCTTTGTGTTCTCAATGTATAACATTTAAAGAAAAACCTACCGATACCCACACACAAAAAAAGTCTTATTTTGACAGCTTTATAATGTTTACAATTACTTTTGTTAAATTGTTTATTAAATGTCACAAAATTAACATTGATTTCATTGTGTAGTGATTCCCTGCTCATACTTTCTTGATTTACCACTGTTTAAATACACTACAAATTTCAGATTTTATTCTGGTTTTTAAAACCAAGTTTTCAGAGCTCTGTTTTACCTCTAATCTGTTGAATTCGGCGCATGAAAGGTTTCATTACTGGCACTGTTGGCCAAAGATACAATTTTACTTCCCGTTAAGAGTATAGTCATCACTACTTTTAAAGCCCATGATACACTCCTCTGACTCTATTAACAATTTACCATATGATACATAGTGAATAAAAAAATCTTTGGTTTCCAAAGCCATACTTACTCCACACAATAAATTCCTCAGAAAGTTAAACCTATATAAAGTCACACCTTTATAAACTAAAATTAATGAGTCTGTTAAAAAGTCACATGGAAACATCATTATACTGTAAAAAATTTTACCTCGCAACCCAACCACTTTTTTACCTAATTATGTGTAGATCTCTGGAATGGTTTTGAACAGTGACAATTTTTCTGTAATATTTTATCAGAAATGCCTAATAAGTCACCTACAAATGAGGGTGGAACAAGATTTGTCACACCTCTGATTTTATTCTCCTTCCATTCATTGCCCAGCATCAAGAGACACAGGAAAACGTAGGTTTACCTGCCTGTTGCCATATCACATCAGGCAGTGATCTCATCATAAGGAAAACACTGGTAAGTATTCATTAATTAGGTGGCAGCCTTCCCTCTCTAGCAGCACTGAACCTGCCTCAGGTCTTTATGATGAAACATAAAACTAATACCCCAAGTAATTTGTAGTCAGTTATTTAGGGGCAATTTTTTAACAATAAGGCTGGTCCCATTAACCTCTACGGAGCTTCAAGTGCATGCAGCAATATGCTCTTTTGTGGTTTGAAAACAAGTTCAAAAAATAAAATCAAAAAGCCCTCAAGACAAGGCAGAAAAGCAACTAAAAATCTAGGCTTCACAAAGACAAACCTATGTGCCCTAGGCTACTATTAGGAGGCTACACGGATACGTGGTATATTGTAGTATAGCCTCTAGTGAAAGCACCTACAGCATCTATCACATTCTGGAGACTTGCCAGAGCTTGCTAGGAACATCCCAGACCATTACTGCAGCAGCACTGATCTTACACTATCCAGATCAGGATCTGACAAAAAATGGTTCTCTGGGACCACTGTTAATAAACTCCAGAAAGCCATCAGTATTTTTTGAATCAAAACCTGAGTCTTGCAGTTAGAAAACATAATAGGAGGTACTTCTGGACTTGCTGCAGTTTATGGTTCAATTGTTTTCATTCAATTAATTTATTTTTCATTCAACATTGTTGTTCAAGGCGAAACAGCCATCACATTAAAAATGAAGTTAGGCTTACTTCACCAGCTGGAATGTTTCCACTCCAAAAAGGCAAAAAGTCCGGAACCATGCGGACAGATGCTCAATTCCACAGCAACACCAATGAAGTCAATGGGGCTCTGCCTGACTCCGGCAGCACACCCACCACAGGGCCATGCCTCACAGAACGGCACTCAGAGCTGGGGCAGCATACCAACAACATGAACCACCTGCTAGTCAACACATCTGCAGAAGTGTGGCTTCAAAGGAAGCTAAAGGAACATTTTCAATTTAGTATTCACCAAGTATTTTATCTTATTAAGGGCTTAAAAAATATTTTACGCTGGATGGCTTCTGTAGAGATCACTGCATTTTTAAATCAGAATCAAAACCAAAATTGGTGTGCCAGTATATATAAGAAAGCCTTTTTATGGCATACAGAGTAGTACTTTCTATAGTAATAACAAAGGAAAATTGTATTCTTTTATTTAAACTAGCAGGTACACATTTGCATTCAGACAGTAATTATCACCATGAATGCTAAGTATTCTACATTAGATGAATGGCCAAATGCATACATCATGCCTACAAGCAAAATTCAGATTCAGTCTAAAAAACATGGAAAAATAATCAGTATCTTAAAAAAAAAAAAAAAAACAAACAACCAGAACAAACCCCATCACACAAAAGGTGACACATTAAGACCTAAACTGCAGTGTTACCAGTGCCAGGAAATTGCTCAGTCTTTTCAGTGCTCCATTGACTTCACTGAGAATTCTGTGTGAGAATAAGCTTGCCAGCACAAACCATGCTGGAGGGAACAATTTTACCTTCTCTTCCCTCAGCGTATGTAATAACTATGGAAAATGCAATTATCCTAATTTATATTAACTGCCTTTTTTCTAATGCTGAATTTCAATTAAATCTATATCGCTGTTTTTTTTCATTAAATTTTCAGATTTTTTTCGGGATTTTTTTTTTTCCCAAAAAGCAGTAAAATAAAATAAAACAACAACAGAGCACCACCTCCTTACATGAAGAGCATAAAACAATTAACACACACAACGAAGAGCAACGTTACACAGAAACGTGTGGAATACCAACCTTCTGCACAGGGCACAACTATCAAAGCTCTGTCAATAAAAACCGTGTTAGTTAGATGCTGGGCCACACCAACACTCGATGCCTCACGAAACTTAATATAACATACTTTGGAGGAAAAAGCAAGAGGTGCGTTGCTGCAAGATAAAAGGAGAAAACAATTAGTCATGCTAAATAACTATACGAATGTACTTTTAACTATTACTCTGTAACAAAGAACTAGGCTCTAGACTTCCTAGAAGAATCAGTCAAAAGGCAAGAGCATAGAAATTTACTCAATGGCCCCCTTGAGATGTCACTGCAACAAGCATAGCATAGCACCTTCTCCTTTATTATGGAAATTTTCAGAAAAAAATTGGAAATTCCAAATTAAGAACACTAATTCTATACTCTTGCTAAACAATATTGGCCACTGCATTTCAGATTACTACTGCAAGCAGCATATATATTTGACAGATTTGTCAAGTGGAGAATTTATACATTGTCTTTTTTCTTCCAAATAATCCTTTGTTTAGGAAAGTCAAGCCCAGACATTTTTCACTGAGTCCTTCAGGTATTAGCTCATTATAACTGGTACTCTTCTCTTAGGTCTTCATGAAAACAGTTTCTTTAATTCTTATTAAGATAAAAGTAGCTCTTGAAAGTTCTTTCAAGTGTTAAGTATCAGTTCACTAATGTAATAAAACTCTTTTTTTATCATCTGCCTTAGTTTGGTCTGGTGTGGAATAGGGTAACACTGAAGGAGGTAGGAGGAACTCACTATTTGGCTAGAATGACAAAAACATGTAATTTGCTTTTGCATTAGGATGTACATCAACAGAGGTGTCAGAAAGCACAACATGTAAACATTGTGATCTTGATCAGAAGCAAGTAAGTTTGCTTTAGAAAATGTTTTCACTAGCCAAGGCTTGCAACCTTTATACAAGCAGTTTATTTCTTCATATTAAGAAATTACAGGTGAAATCTTCAAAGGGAGAATGCAATAGGATATTGCTGGAACACCAGTCATTTCAATTTGGAAACACCATCTGTCTTCTAGCAAAGCACTAACTCACAGAAAACACACTACATAAACTGTTTCACCCCAGCCCTCCCTCAACAGAAACACTTGTCAGCTTTCTGGAAGTACCAGAAGCAGTTGAAGTTTAGCCCAATCCATCTTGTAGTCCCTCAAATTCCAAGCAGGTACTCCCAAAGCTGATGTATGGAACTAATTCAACCTCAGTATTTAAGTACAAGCTCTGAAGTTCTAGAACCATTATGTCATCATATTAATTCTATAAATGAACCAAGAATTCATTCTGAGGCAGACTTATGTTTCTGGTTCCCAGAAAGGTAATGCCCAGGTAAAACACCTTTATGGCTGCAGGTTTTTTTTGTTTGTTTTGCTTTGTTCAGGGGAAGGTGGAAGGACATCTGCAGGGGGATGTTGTCCGGAAAAGGTGGTTTGGGTTTTCTGGTGTTGCTGTTTGGGGTTGGTTTGTCTGGTTTTTTGTCCTGCAGGATATAACAATGTCTGAGAAACCCTTGTGTGTTCTACCTCCAAGCCCACTTCAGACCATCCAGCAGCAGTGCCACACAGCTAATGGAAAGAGTTTGTGGCTCCCTGCTTTCAAACAACTCATTTTGCAAAAATCCAGTTGTTGCTCAATAAAGCTTTTCAATATTTAACTTCAAAAATCCTGTTACAACCACATTTGATGGCTTATCACTACAAATGTAATTTTGAAGGCTTCTCTGAAACACAGTTCAAGAGGGTGACAAGTCTAACACAAAAGCATGGCTGAGACTAAGAATCTGATTACAGATGTCACTAGTCTCCTAGCAAGCCAAAAAACAACCCTAAGCTGTACGCATGGTTGGCATACTGGAGTACATACACCAGGCAAAAGACCTGTCACACCCTGCAAGCCAGCTTCAGATTTCAGCTGTACTGCAAACTGAGAGTGATTTATAAAAACTGGGCTCCCTCTTGTTCAGAACTAAGAGAAAAACAAAACCATACTTCATCTTCTCGCAAAGTCAATTTAGTCGCCAACAGAAAGGTATCAAATTAATATTTTCTTGAACAACACATTGGGTAAATTAAACTTTAGGCTGCTAAGAGCAACGAAGATACAAAAGTTTCGGGGAATATTCTACAGAGGATGGAACACAATATACCCTCTCATGCTCTTCTGTGCTCACGTCAGCATCATCACACACGTATGGTTCCTTCGAGACCTTCTGCACATGTGCAGGTGCAAGAGGCCTCGTTCCGACCACCTTAGTGGCCTCTGTGTGTTTCCACTTCAGAAACTCTTGTAAGCATAGCAAATTTTCAAAAAGGCAGACTGAGGGCCTCTACTTAAACAGTGACAGAGATTGGCCACTCCCAACATGGATTTCAGATCTCTAATCAAACCATGACTATACACAGGTATTCAAAAATTCAGGAGTTTCTCCCCAGGCTCTGTGACAAAGTATCACTGCAGCTGACAGCCAGCCCCACTTAGGCCACCCCTCTCTACACAAAAGTGGCAAATGCACACAATAACAACCCTTAGCATATAAATTCATTCTCTTACACGGGCTGTGTAATATTATTATTAACTGCAATATTATAGAATAGAATCCTTTAGGTTAGAAGAGA